CAGACTGCTTGAGGGGAGTTTATTTCCTATAAAGCGAAAGAGCAGATGGTAAGATTAATCCTGAGAAGTTCTCTGCAATCATCACATCTACAATCCGTTTAAACACGACGGAAGTGAGAAATCTGATGCTACAGCCCCAGGTGAGGAAAAACAAACAAAACAGAAGAGTTAGCAGGTGTTCAGAGGAAACGGGAGGAGAGAAATGAGTCTGATCGTCACATGAAGGCAGGATTTGAACCTGCGGTTTTCTAGATGGCGTTTTTTCTTCTGGCGAGATCGGCTGGTTCCCATGCTGAGAGACGGCCGTCGTCTCTGTTCGGTTCTCCTGCTGAGAGAGATCGGTTAAATCCACTTACTGTGTTCATTTTCTGTAGCTTTTCTGATTCATCACGTTTTCCTGGCCTCCTGCAGCGACCACGATCACGTGTACTTTGTCTCAGTTTTCAAACAGAAAACCTGATTAACAAAATTAAATTTATAAAAAGTTAAACTTGAAAGAAAAAAAGATTAAAGAGCAAGTCACCCCCGACCAGATTCTTACTCAACTCCCACTTCCTGTTTATAAAATGCAGCAAATGCTGTTGCCTAGTAGACCGAGAGGGCGGAGCCGCTTACAAATACACACACAACAACCTGTAAAGGTTCCTGAGCCTTTAAATGGTCTCTCAGTCTAGTTAAATTACAGAAATAAATGTATTTTTGCACAGTATTTTAATTTTTCCAGCTTCACATAATTGTGTGTATTTAGCAGCATTTCTGTTGCTGCTAATCTAGTAACGGTTAAATAAATAAAGAAAATCCTTTAAAATGACACTAGAAGAGGCACAGATCTGATGGAGGACTTACATTTACTAACGTGGGTCAGACCCAACCACAGAAGAGCTGAAGCTGGGTGGTAAACACACACAGGTAGTTCTAATAACACCTGAGCTCCATGACGTGTGAGACTGATGCATCAGTGTTACAGCGGGGCTAAAGACATGATCAGAAACAGGTTACAGCTGGATGATCTAGGAAGGCAGAAGATCAGGACTTCTGAGCGGTGAACAGGTGAGCGGACCTTCGGGATGTCCCGCTGTCACGCTAAGAAGGGCACGGCTGCAGACCCGCACCTGCAGCCGTAGCTGCAGATCCGCACCTGCAGCCGTAGCAGCAGATCCGCACCTGCAGCCGTAGCTGCAGATCCGCACCTGCAGCCGTAGACTATTCATCACGTCTTCCTCGTTCTTCACGGCTGTGAACCGCTTATGATCCCGGGCCAGGAGTAGCTACAACGTAGCGTGTGTAGACTGCCGTTACTGACCTAAAAGTGCCATCCTGCAGTTTGACGCAGAAACTGAGGCCCTGTCCACACGTAGCCGGGGATCCACGAAAACGGAGTTTTTTCACACGAAAACGGATCTTTTTAAAAACTCCGGCCAAAGTGAAGATCTGCGTTTTCTCCGTTTTGGGTGTCTGCGTGTGGACAGACAAAACCGGAGTTTTAAGGTCCGCAACGTCACTTTCCACGACAAAAAAATGCTGACATCACGTGTGCGACCTGTGTTTACACTAGCCGACAGCATGGATGCCCTCAGAGCTGCGCTCGCTTTATCAATGGTCCAAGCGCTTTCTGCTTGTTTGTTTTTGCAAGCGGAATTACTGCTCCTTGCGGAAGACCACAGACGAAGGACGAGGATAAGAACGGGGGAAGTACTGCCACCTACAGGCCTGGCATGTCCTTAACAACGTATTTATCCGGGTACGTGTGGACAGATTTTTTTTTTTAAACGAGGTGGTGTGGATGCAAGTTTTTGGAGGGGCGGATATTCGTTTTTTAAAAAAACCCGGCTACGTGTGGACTAGGCCTGAAACTCAGGCTGGGTGAAGAGGGATTTAGGACTGACTCGGCTCTACTTCAGCTGTTTAATAAATAAGATCGAGTCCCACCTTTTAAAACACAATCAGCCTTGCTGCTATGTAGGTGTACCAATAAGCCTCGGAGCTTTTAACATCGTCCATCGCCTCGCTGTAGCTAAAGTAGCAAAAATGCAACTTTATGTGAACTTTAGCCAGATTTATGGGTCATCCCCCCACCCCTCTGGCTGAGGAGGCAGCAGTAGTGCAGCAGCGTCCTGTTGGAGCTGTGACAGCTTGTGCGCCATAGGCGTCATTTTAACCGGGGACGCCGGGGACATGTCCCCGGCAAAATTTGTGATTGGCAGCTGTGTCCCCCCCACTTTCAAAAACGCCTGCTGATGACGATTTTTGTTTTACCAGCTCAGATCTTATGGGTCGGCAACCTGTTCCCATCAAAGAGCCATTATTACCCATTTCCCACAGTAATTTTGGACGGACCTTAATAAGCAGCGACTTAAGTGAAGCAGGCAGGTCGCGCTAGAAAATTCCGTTTAAAAAGACGTCATAAATGTGTTCCCCCGTCCTTTTTATTTATAAAATATGAAGTAAAAACTCACAATTTAATTTACATTCATTTGTCATTAATATGTAGTCTACACCCGTGCGTTAAGTGGACCATCTTCCAGTAAACGCAAAGCATCCAGCCCACCTCTCCAAATGCGTAAAATGTGCAGCTGATCGGCCCAGACAAGAGCAGAGCAAATAGAGAAAGAATAGAGGATAATTCTGTCTGGATGTGGATGGAGATTACATTTTACAGCAGCCTGATCATCATTTAAACACGTAAACCATCATCTGTCTTCTAGTCCACGCTATCAGCATTATTTTAATTGGTGTGTGTGTGTGTGTGTGTGTGTGTGTGTGTGTGTGTGTTCCACTTCAAACACTGGTCTAACCAACCAGACCAGCGTGTCCAGTAACATATTAATGTTACAATTAAACAGTTTCACTTCATGTAGGCTAGGAACGTTTCACCTGCCGTGGCCCGACCGCTTCTGCTCCACATAAACTTTGTGCGTGATCAAATGTCTCTACGCGTCATGCGTCTCCATATTAGAGACGGAAACAAGCGCTGTTCAGCCAAAGTTTCATAATTTCATAAAAAGAACATTTTTCCAAGTGACACATCCCTCAGAGAGACCGGATTTCCAGACTGTTTCAGTGGGAGGAAATCTTATCGCATGCGCCGTTCTGCACTGCGCTGCGAACCCCAGATCTTCAGCTCACTGTCCACTGTGGGCGCTCTGAGCCGCGCTGAACACAGTGTCCAGTATAAAGCTCTGATGTTCTGATGGGAATATTTTACCTCCGCGATGTGCATTAACGATTAAAATATCAGCTCATCCATGCGCATCCGTGTGCGTCGTGGTAATTCTTTCAAACCAAGCAACATCCTTGAGTTCATCTGTCAAAATAAACAGTCAAATGGAAATATATGTAACCTGCCGTTTAACTGTTTTGCCTTCATGTGAAGATTTTTGCAACGAGAAACAATTAAACTTGATTAACCCCAGAGCCACCCAGAGAACCAGAGCGCATGCGGAAGGTTCCTCCCACTGAAGCGAGTGTTTTCCAAACCCTGTCTCTCAGAGAGACTTGTCACTTAGAAAATGTTCCCTGATTATGAAACTTTGGCTGAATAGTGCTTGTTCCTGTCTCCAATGTGGCGACACATCCAGGAGCCTGTCTGAGGAGAATCCCAGAATCTCACATCCTCTTCAGCTCAGAAAGCGCCTATGATTACGCACAAGCGTGACGCGCCAACCCGGTCTCACAGTAAGACCGGGTTGGAACTGTTCAGGTTTACGCAGGCAATCTTTATATTTAGAATTGGCATACAGATGTAAAATTAATGCAGTAAAATATAAAGCATTTTATTTAAATATCCATTCATTATTTTACAAACAGAGAGCCGCATCAGATGGATGGAAGAGCCGCATGCGGCTCCAGAGCCGCGGGGTGCCGACCCCTGTGCTAGCCTACTTTATTGTCCCCAGCAATTTTTAAACCCCACCCAAGTGTATGGTTATTGTCCCCAGCAATTCTGAAAACAAACTGACGCCCTTGTTGTGCGCACACGCTTTTCTTCTCTAAAAGCTCATGAAGACGATTTGCACAAAGGGACTGCACCGGCTCAACGTACACAGATGCAGACCTGAAGATTCTTACATATTTTTCTGTTTAGACATGTTTTTTCTGAAGGCTGGGAGGGATTTTCTGCTT